TTTGGGGGGGGGGGGGGCAGCAGAGCAGATGTTCATGGATGACCGTTACTGCTCTCCCAGATTGTTAGGAATATTGCAATAAACGCTAAAATATGATTCAACCCTGTCTCTGCTTAACTGGCTCAAGTGACAGTCAGCCTGGACCCACTGTTTTCCAGTTTCACATTTTTTGGCGAATCCAAAAATTAAGTTGGACACCACCCCTGGAAACCCTGCAGAATGCTCATTTTAGCCCAAACATGTTTCACTTGTTAATTTTTACAAATAAATAAGCAAAGCCAATAGAATTTTGTCAATGATGATCATTACCAAGCTATTGCCTGTATGTGCATCTCTTTATTTTTCCTCTTGTGTGTACTGATGTACTGAGCATATTTCTCCAAGAAGTCTATTGAATGTTCTAGAAACATAGGTCCCTTTAAACATTCCCAGGTAGAAGTGCCTCATGATTCTGCCCTGGGTGAAGCTGTACTAGGTACATCCCTCCCTGCTCCCAACAGAAGCATTTTTGAATACAATAAACTGGCTTAGGAAAATGAAGTAGCTGAAGGCCTTTATTTAAGGTGTTACTCCCAACAGGAAGGTGTGGCAGTAACTTCAGTCTGCCTGACAGGATTGTCAGAACTTAGTCAGTGTGCAAATAAAGGCCGCAGAGCAAGGCCTCGCCTAGTTTGAGAGAATGGGCTTGTTTGCACTTTTGACAGCATTTCTGCTTGGGCACAGATGGAAAACAGAGAGCCATTGACTCCTCACTGGAGAGAATAGTGTGCTAATCTAAAAAGGTGGGCCCAGTGTTTTACTTAGAACTGTGGGTCTCAAATTGCGTCTTGCATCAGCACCACCTGAAAGGTCTGTTGAAACACACACTTCTATTCAGCAAGCCTGGGGCGGGTCTGATCATTTACATTTCTCACCTCTTCCCAGGTAATGCCCCTGCTGGTGGTCGAAGGCCACACTTTGAAAGTTTAGAGTTACCCCAGTGTTTTCCCTCCACACCCACCCCATGAGGTTGCCAGGCAAATGGTAGAAGTCCTGTTTGCTCTAAGGGATCCAGTAAGCCCAGAGGAGGGGAAAGAATGTGTCCAATCTGTTTTGCATATCTACAT